AGATGTAGAGTTAGGGGCGATATGATTGAAGTGTATAAATGGAAGTCAGGCTTAAACAAAGGTGATATAACAAAGGTACTAAAACTATCCAACCGTTAGCAAATTCGTAGGAATGGTTTAAATTAGACAAATTTAGATTTAGGCGCGAGATAAGTAAACATTAATGTGGAAATAAAATAGTGGATCAGCATAAAAAGTTACTGAATTTCATTGTTAACTCGAACAAGCTGGGTAGCTTCAAATATAGGTTGGACGGATATATGAGTGACAGGTGGTGGGTGTAAACAGGGCAGCCTAGTATGGGCCAATAAGCCCACTGCAGTTTCCTCTGTGCTTATGATCTTATCTGCTCATGTCCACTCATCTAGTAGCTTAACTTTTCCTGTGGTGAGTAATGCTAAAAAAAAAAAAATAATAAAAAAAAATGCATATACGGGTACAAAGTACTGTAAGTACATTAAAAATTTTCTTGTAAAATGTCAAATGTAATTAAGCCTTTGGTAGTGGCATCCGATTAAGTCATAGTTTACGTTAACACAGAGAGCAGCAAACACCTACCCTCATACAAGGTAAAAAGTTACCTTTTTAAATAGATAATGAACACCCTATATAGATTATAACTTACAGTATTTACACTTAAGTTCAATTTTAGTTGGGTAAAATTAATATCATCTTTGGAAACCTGGGATATATCTTGATCCTGTATTAATGTAAAGAAAAGAACTGGCTCCATGGGGAGTGAATGTTCACAAGGCACTAGCACCTAGCATTCCCATACATCACTTAAGAACTTGTTAATGTTTAATTATTATAGGCACAAGGATGGTGGGGATGGTTAGGGCAGTAATGAAAGGCTTAAGCTTAAAATTATAATCAAAGAGTTGCTCTCACTCCATTAAAAAATATTGATGATTAATGTTTCATACACTACATTAAAGAATAATACTATTATCTAGCTCATTATAAATCAACTCAAGTTAAATGTAAGAGAATGATCTCACACTAACATTAACTGTAACACACTCAAGTTTCTTTAAATATGGCATACAGTATCTAGTACCTATACATGTGAAGCTCTCTCTAAAAAATCACACAGCCTCATACATGAACTGTCTGATTCCTCTTCCATACACATATTGTGAATTAAAACAAAACCTGAAAATATTTTATTAGAAATGTGTCAAAGTAAAGTGTTGAATGTCCTTTTACTAAAAATGCACAAATTTACTGAGAAAAGAGAAAATATTAAGTTAATTCAAATTTGCAAACAGGAAATTGCATAGAGCATTTGATGCTATCAATTACATAATATATTTGTTTAGTACTATACTATATGTATGTAGACTTAACATACCTTAGTTTTAAATGTCATTACAATAAATACTTTCATCTCTCCACCAAATTACATGTACAGTCAGTCCCCGACTTACGACGGGGTTAGGGACCGATCACCAGGTCGTAAGTCGAATTGGTCGTAAGTCAAAAATGCGAAAATAATACAGTGGTCCCTCGATTAACAAACACAATTGGTTCCAACTCACAGAAAAAGTACATACAAAGTAAAGCCCAAAAATGCATAAAGTCAGAAACACTCCTAAAAATCCCCTAAATCGCCCTTAAATCACTATACATTATATACAGTATATACGTACATATACAGTTGAACCTCGATTTACGCAATTCTCGTTTACACGTTTGGTCATTTACGCGGTACCTTGCCAGAACCAGGATGCCCGATTTACGCGGTGAATTACTCATTTACGCGGGTGAAGTATAATTTGTTTATTTACTGAAGATATTTGTTTTAGCTCATAAAATTCATACAAATTACCCTGCCAGAATATAATTTACATTGCTGGAATTCTTATAAGATTGTGCTTATTTTAAATATAAACATCATAGAATTTGCATTAGACATACAAATTTTAGATCTAATGCAAGAAATTTGATTACAGAGCCAAAATTTTATCTTTTGTGCAAAATATATGACGTTTATATTCAAAATATTCCTGGTCTTGCAAGGAATCCAGCAATGTCAATTACATTATCCTAACTTTAGTCTGAGGTATTATTTATTACTAAAAATGTAAACCTAATGATTTTACCCAAACATTTTTCTGGGAGGAAGGGAAGGTGGGGGGTAGGGAGGGACCCAGTGAGCGTGGGAAGAGGGGGGGGGCGGAGGTGGGGTATTTTGATTGACAGATAGTGTCTGGGTCAAGTATAATTTGTTTATTTACTGAAGATATTTGTTTTAGCTCATAAAATTCATACAAATTACCCGGCCAGAATATAATTTACATTGCTGGAATTCTTTTAAGATGATGATTATTTTAAATATAAACATCATGGAATTTGCATTAGACATACAGTCAGTTCTGCTATAACGCGATAGTTGTGTTCTTGTAAAACATCGTGTTATAGAAATTCGCGTAATAGAAATAACAGGGCTTATGGAGAAAATAGGATTAGGTGCAGATTACCACTCGAAATCGAAAAAATTTTAGTAGTTAGCCTAACACAAAGGTTAGCACAGTCTAAATAAATGTTACATTCATAACTAATAAAAAAATCATACAGTAAATGTAACACTTTACCGTGAAGAAATATGAATATAACTTGATGGGGGAGAAGGGTGATTTTGAGGTTGATAACATCGAGCTTCTCTTCAAGTGTTATAGCCATTTTTTTACGATCATCACCGGGAATGCGATCAACAGAACGCTTCTTGGAGATATTCTTCTTCACCATATTCACAGTTAATACCACAAAATTGGAGAAATAGTAAGCAAAAATCGCGTTACAGCAAACAAACGTTCGCGTTATACAAATATCGTTCCTCTATTCATAAATCGCGTTAGAGCCAATTCGCGTTGTCAAAACACGCGTTATAGCAGAACTCACTGTACAAATTTTAGATCTAATGTAAGAATTTTGATTACAAAGAGCCAAAATTTTATCTTTTGTGCAAAATATATGACGTTTATATACAAAATATTCCTGGTCTTGCAAGGAATCCAGCAATGTTAATTATATTAACCTAACTTTATTCTGAGGTATTATTTATTACTATACCATAAAATCTAGTGTTTTCACCCAAACATTTCTCAGAGAGGGAGGAGCCAGCGAGCATGGGAAGAGGGGGGAGTTGAGTCCATTATTTGAATGGACATTAACCTGGCGACTGTATTTCTCTTAAATATTAATTGTGTGTGCATACCATCATAAAATTAAGATGTTATTTTTACTACAATGTAGGTATTGTGTCGGAAAAAGTGGAGTTTGGGAGTCGGCCCAGTCTCTATTTCAATTAATCCCACGTTTCTCGTTTTACGCGCTACTCCGCGGGTTCAATTGACCGCGTAAATCGGGGGACCACTGTACACTAGAACTCTTAAATCACTACTGTAATGTGATATAGGTGATTAATTTTTATCTCTTGTGCAAAATATACAGTATGACATGTATATTCAAATTATTAACTGTTTTGCAAGGATTCCAGCAATGCAAATTATATTCTCTTAACTTTAGTCTGTGATATTATATAAGATAAAAACTGTAAGCCTAAAACCCTGGCTGGGCAGAGAGAGAGAGAATGTTTGACAGTTGGTGCCGAAGGTCTAATGTGTGTTTATTTATCAGTCCTTAAGAGTGACTAAGCTTTTCTCTTATAATTTGCTACTGAAACGACCTGGGTGAATATAATTTACATTGCTGGGATTCTTGTAAGATAGTGATTAATTTGAATATAAACAAGTTATAATTTGCACTAGACAAAAATTTTAGTACCCTAATCATTTAGTACATGTACAGTACAGGTTTGCACTTAGGTCATTTATTTCTTTTACGTTTCTTTTAGTATGGTGTGTGCATGTAAATGAATAAAAATAAATGAAGAAATTTATGTAAATCTACCCAAAAATACGGTTGAAAATTTTTACATTATTAAATGTACTAATGTACTAAAGTTTTTGTCTCTTGTGCAAAATACAGTATATGACATTTATATTCAAATTATTCACTGTCTTGCAAATTATATTCTCCTAACTTTAGTCTGTGACATTATATAAGATAAAAACTGTAAGCCTAAAACCACCAAACCATGGAGGGGGGAGGGGGGAGGGGTAGAGGGAGGGAGGAAGGGGAGGTGACAGTGACATGTTTGACAGATGGCACCAAAGGTCTAGTGAAGTATTTATTTCTTTGTTTATTTATGTCCATTAGATTGAGTTTTGGTTTTTGCTTATAAAATGTCATCGAAGTGACCGAGGAGAATATAATTTACATTGCTTGAATTCTTATAAAATAGCGATTAATTTGAATATAAACGTCATATATTTTGCACAAGAGATAAAATTTTTAGTACACAGTACATTTTAATAATGTAAAATTTTTTTAACTGTATTTTTGGGTAGATTTACATAAATTTCTGGGTGTCACTTTTTCGTCTCAGCACCACGAGAACTCTCACTTTTACACTTGCCAGCTATTTTAAAGGGAATTACAAAAAAAAATTTGTCAGAACACAGCGCGATCATTAACTTGGAGACTCGAAAATATGTAATTTGAATTTTTTTTTTTTGTACGACTGTGGCAGTCGTATGTCCGGGTGGTTGTAAGTCGAATAGGTCGTAAGTCGAGGAGTACCTGTACTGTTAATATATCACACTTGAAGACTTACTTTAAACACTAGTTTCTGTAGATGAATACAATTATACAAAACATTGTATTCAACTTTGTCAATTAAATACTTTCTTATTGGCAACTTTATATCATTTCACTTGTGCCAATCGATTTTGCCAAGACGATCAAGTCATTTGGGGTTTATTTCCTTCATTGCAGTTTACCCCCAATTTTATCTTCTTTCTACATTGTCTCTCCTTCTTGGACAGTGAGTGGGGTAAATATATTTTTTTCTTCTCACATTTAAACTCATGACATTTCTTGTCATGACAGGCTGTATGGACAAGCTTTAGGTTCCCATTACAGTGTTGAACATTAGCATTTTTATGAGTGAAGAGCAAGTCATAGAAGTAAGGGAGGTTCACTTTGAGGTTCCCTTTTGATTTTTCTTGTGCATAAAGAGCTGATTTTAATGCTGGTATAACTGCTCTTGATTTTTCAATTCTGGAAAGAGGTAAATGAGTTGCACACTAGCTAAGAAAAAAATAATATGTTTAGGACAATACAGAATATTGTACTAAAATACAGGTAGTAATCTCTCCATACAGCTCTGTGTCTGTCCGACTGTAGTTCAGTCGCTCAATGCAAGATGTTTAGTTTATACTCTCAAAAAAACTTTCCCCAGTACAGTACCAGGAAAAATTCTGGGAATGAGAAAATTTGTCTTCATACCCGGAAATTTCCCAAACCCACAAACACTGCAGCAATTATTCCAGCTAATGGGGAGATTACTGTACTGTGAAACAAATAAAATAAATTCACACAGGGAACATATTGACTGATATTGTACTGTATTTAATAATGATGATAAATAAATAACCTTAAAAGGTACAGGTCATGAGAAGTTTCCAAATGTTCGTATATTTGTTTAAATAATGAAGAAAATTTGATATGAGAATATTGTGGCAGCTGTGGTTCTAGTTGAGTGCCAAGTGATTAATATAATTTTCTTCATATTTAAACAAATATACAAAAACTTGGAAACTTCTCATGACCTTAAATAACAATGAATAGTTTATTATTATAAAAATGTTACCTTTGGTTTGTTTAATATTTATCCTGACAGTGATACAGCCAAAAACAGATCCACCAATCACAATCACCATTACATACAGCCTTCCTTTACCAAGTATTGCCAGGTAAAATTGCGAGCACGAGACCCAGGGTGGGGTCGGTGCATCTTTGGCTGACTGTACATGAAGGTAAGAAGAGGTCACTGTCACTTTTAGTTCCTCTTAATGTTTTATGACCTCCTGCTGTTCAACAACACGAATTAGCTGTTAACCCTCTTGTGCACGAGATAAGTTTTAAGTTTTACAAAATATATAAAAAAAAATTATATTTTTGAGCCTATGTTTTATATCAATATAAATTATATTGCATCTTGCAGCCAACACTATAACGAAGATAAGGTTTTTTGGGGCGATTTATTTTATCCACGTGGGCGGGTGTTCAATCGCATCACATGACTTATGGTATGGGTATACAGTACAGTAATCAGTATAGTAAAATATATGAGAATAACAAAAATTATAACAAAATATACCATAGTAACATAAATTGTATTATGTATAGTATTATATAAAATAAGATCATAAGATCATATACAATATATAGTTGAATGGGCATTTAACCGCATCACATGATTGTCATACAGTAAAAGAAAGTAACACAATATCTAAAAATAAAATGCAATATAAAATAACAGAAAATATATTACAGTATAGTCTCAATTTATACAGATTTGGTTTACGCGTTTGGTTATTTACGCGGCACCTTGCCAGACAGACAATTTTTATTTACGCGGTTCATTCCATCATTTACGCGGGAAGCGGCGCAGGCAGGGTGTGCACAAGGTCGCCCAGTCAACAAAACATTACCGAGTTCTTCACCCACCACAGCAGCCCAAGTCAGTGATAGTGAGGATATGGACTTTGAGGGGTTTGACAAAGAGGCCCTGCAAGCCTCTGTGGTGGATAGTGATACAGGTGATACAAGTGAGGGCCAATAATCTGCCCTCTGCCTCAGAACCAACCCCAATCCCCGTGTGCCCAGCCATCTCTTCTACTAAGTAAGTGTTAAAAAACCTAATACAGTAGTACCCGCTTAACACGGTCAATAAAACCCACAGGGTACCGTGTTAAGTGAAAACCGAGCTAAGTGAACAACAGAACATATGGGATTAATTCCAATAGAAACTGGCCCGACCCCCAAACTCCACTTTTTCCGACACAATACCTATGTTCTAGTAAAAATAACATCTTAATTTTATGATGGTACATGCACACAATTAATACTTAAGAGAAATAGAGAAACAGTCGCCAAGTTAATGTCCATTCAAATAATGGACTCAACTCCCTCCCCCTCTTCTCACACTACACTGCTGGCTCTTCCCTCTCTGAGAAATTTTGGGGGAAAACCACTAAATTTTAATAAATAATACCTCAAACTAAAGTTAGGATAATACAATTGACATTGCTGGATTCCTTGTAAGACCAGGAATATTTTGAATATAAATGTCATATATTTTGCACAAAAGATAACATATTTACTCAGAGTAAACATTACATCTAAAATTTGTATGTCTAATGCAAAATCTATGATGTTTATATTCAAAATGATCATCAAATTACAGTTGTGCCGCTTAAATTCAATTGAACCCACAGGGTACCGCGTTATGTGAAAACCGCGTTAAGTGAACAACAGAACATATGGGATTAATTCCAATAGAGACTGGCCCGACCCCCAAACTCCACTTTTTGATGACACACAACTATGTTGTAGTAAAAATATTATCTTAACTTTATGATGGTATGCACACACAATTAATAATTAAGAGAAATATCAATAATATTAGGTTTTTTAACACTTACATTAGTAGAAAAGATGGCTGGGCACAAGGGGATGGGGGGTTGGTTCTGAGGCAGAGGTCAGATTATTGGCCCTCACCTGTATCACTTGTATCAATTGTATCACTATCCACCACAGAGGCTTGCAGGGCCTCTTTGTCAAACCCCTCAAAGTCCATATAAGTCCATATCCTCACTATAATTATCACTATCACTGACTTGGGCCGGCTGTGGTGGGTGGCGGGTGAAGAACTCGGTAATGTTTTGATGACTGGGTGACCTTGTGCGCATCGTGCCCGCGCCGCTTCCCGCGTATATGAGTAGATGAACCGCGTTAAGTGAAAGTTCGGTTCTGGCGAGGCACCGCGTATATGAGAAATCGCGAAACAAGCTAATACTGTATAAGAATTCCAGCAATGTAAATTATATTCTGACCGGGTAATTTGTATGAATTTTATGAGCTAAAACAAATATCTTCAGTTAATAAAAAAAAAAATATTCTTCACACGGTAACACATGGTCAGTCGGTCCCTCCCTCCCCCCCCACCCTCCACCAACCGTCCCTACTAGATGTGTGGGAAAACCAGAATATTTACCTTTTTAGTAATAAATAATACCTCAAACTAAAGTTAGGATAATAAAATTGACATTGCTGGATTCTTTGTAAGACCAGGAATATTTTGAATACAAATGTCATATATTTTGCACAAAAAATAACATATTTACTCAGAGTAAACATTATATCTAAAATTTGTATGTCTAATGCAAAATCTATGATGTTTATATTCAAAATGATCATCATATTGTAAGAATTCCAGCAATGTTAATTATATTCTGGCCGGGTAATTTGTATGAATTTTATGAGCTAAAACAGGCAGGCAGGCAGTCAGGCAGGGTGGCATGTGGGGCGAATCTAAAAATAGCTCTGGAGCCGGACACTCTGCACGTATACGTGGAAAAAACCCACGTAAAGTGAAAGTTCAGCTCTGGAGAGGCACTGCGTATACGTGAAATCGCGCTAAGCGAAACCGTGTTAAGCGGGGTATTACTGTATTATTGATATTTCTCTTAAATATTAATTGTGTGTGCATATCATCATAAAATTAAGATGTTATTTTTACTACAACGTACGTAACGTATTGTGTCTGGGTGAAGTATAATTTGTTTATTTACTGAAGATATTTGTTTTTAGCTCATAAAATTCATAGAAATTACCAGGCTAGAATATAATTTACATTGCTGGAATTCTTATAAGATAGTGATTAATTTGAATATAAACAAGCTAAAATTTGCATTAGACATACAAATTTTTTATCTAATTTAAGAATTTTATTAGAGAGAGCAAAAATTTTATTTTTTGTGCAAAATATATGACATTTATATTCAAATTATTCACAGTCTTGCAAGGAATCCAGCAATGTCAATTATATTATCCTAAACATAGTCTGAGGTATTATTTATTACTAAACCTAAAAACCTCGTGTTTTCACCCAAACATTTCTAAAGAGCATGGGATGAGGGGAGGGAGTTGAGTCCATTATTTGAATGGACATTAACCGGCGACTGTATTTCTCTTAAATATTAATTGTGTGTGCATACCATCATAAAATTAAGATGTTATTTTTACTACAACGTACTATTGTGTCGGAAAAAGTGTAGTCGTTTTACACGGACCTCCACTGGTTCAATTGACCCCGTAAATGAAGACTATACTGTATAAAATAAATTCATGCTGTACTGATATAAAATACAATCATCCTGTACTGTACTCACATCCTTCAGCGAGGTGGAAGATTTCCGGAACTTGTAGATGGACTTTGGGGGAGAAAGTGAGTGAATGAGCCCGAGTATAATGTAAAAGTGAGAGTGATTGATTGTGAGTGAATGTCGGCGAGTGTAGGAGTGTGTGGATGAGTGTATGAAGATGTGGATGAGTGTGTGGGAGTGTGGATGAGTGTGTGGGAGTGTGGATGAGTGTGTGGGAGTGTAGGTGAGGGTGTATGAGTGTGGAGTTTAGAAGGAGAGGGATTCCAATGGAGCATAGCTGATAAGTGGAGTGTGAGAGGTGGAAGGTGCTTGGTGACCATGGGAGGCACCACATGCCAGATGGCCGTTTCCAAGGCCAAATTTCTCTAATTTGGCCGCAAAAAACTTCGCCTGGCCTGGTTTGGCCGAAAAGTAAAAACGGGTTGGCTGATTTGGCCGCGAGATGGTGCGAGTATTGGCCGTGAAACATGTCCCAAATCTAGCAGCCCTGGTGGGGTGGTGGTGAGGAAGGGAGGTAGCGGGTGGTATGAGGCTTGCATAATGCAGAAGATATGAAAGAGATGCTTGGTATATGGAAGGTTGTGGTGAAGAAGAGTGAGGATGGTACGTTGTTGGTGTGGGCTGGTGATAGAGGGAGTCTGGTGGCGAGGCACGTGACAACGTGGATGCAACCGACACAATTTCACCCTCAGATTCATGACTTTCTTTGTTGTTACCATGATCATTTTCACTATCAGGCTCTTTCTTATCACTATCCACTTGATCCCCACTGTCCCTAAACAGGAGTTCTAGAAAATCATCCTCTTTCAGAGACTTTTTTCAAGACATTGCCACTACAGGAAACGAGGTTGTATAGCCTGATACAGTAACGGCTTTGGAAACTTAAACACTTTCCTGTAAATATGAAAAAAATATTACATTACACAACCATCACTTCACTACTCTAACACAAAAAAAGAAATTAATTCAGGGAGTAGGGTAAGAACTTTAATCCAGGAATTGAGGCAGCCCGCACGGAGTTATGGGAATTTAAACGGACACAGCTCACACTCACGGTCTGACTGAGCATTTATTGTTCTGGTCTTCCCTTCCCATGGGCCTTGAGAGTTGATAATTAGTTTATTTGAGAGAACTTACTTGCTACTATGACACATCAAAATTTGACATAATGCTGTTGAAAACTTAATTTTTGTTGAATTTTTTAAAGTTTGGTGAGTCAATTTGTGCCACCGTGAAGTTGGTCTTATCATGAATATGACGTGAATCGCTCATAATGCACGAGAGGGTTAATTTCTGAATAGGTTCAATGACTTACCTTGGACTGTTTTGTTAGGCTGAAGGGAAAGTCAAACTAAAATATTTCAATGATGTGAAGAACAGGAGTTACTTGGGTATACCAAGATCAGGATGAGGAACTTGGCAGTGGGCATACACAAGACCAAACATCTACTGAAGGTGAGCTGTTGCAGGTGTTAAGCACAGCAAAAGCTGACCAAAATTTAAGGACAAACATAAACTAAGCCATTCTGGTATGGTCTTCAGCCAGCTGTTTATTATAAATTAGATCAAATATTTCTTAAGTCCTACAAGAACACAAATAATTAAACAAATTTAACTTACATATGATCCAGATTCCATGTAGAAAACATTATCCTCATCTCCCTAGAGGCATATGGATTGATGAAATGGATACCTGGACATCTGTCCGTATTGTATGGCCCCTCACACTCAAAGAGACCATTGGCATCACACAAGCGCTCACCAGGTGCAGCTTTGCGGTCAAAATACTTGGCATTGTACCTGTTCAAAAAATAATTGAAGAGGCTTAACCTTTGTTCAGAGGGACCGATATGATCACCAAACACCATATCTCTGTCTCTCTCTCTGCGTGCGTGCGTGCGTGCGTGTGTGTGTGTGTGTGTTTTAGTTTAACAAATTTATTGACAAAGCTTGTAGTACAGTTTGTCTATTCTGAGTAATTCAGTCAGGTCTTGTCACTGAGGGTGGTATCACTTCTCACTGCCACGCAGGACAGAGGTTCATAAACAAAGAAATACAACTTATTCAGAAGCAGTATATATAGGTCAGTGGTTCACATACATTGGATGTCATATCCTAATTGAAGACTAATCAGTGTGGGCTAGCAAATTTGGGATAAACAGCAAGAATGTCCTCAAGCACCCCTGATTCAATGTAGTAATTACAAAGTTCAAGATACAATAAGTCAGGTGGCCTGAAGTCCTTGACAGTGTTACATTCAATAATATAGTGTTCAAGTGTATGCTTTAAAGGTTTATCACAAAGTTTACATGCCGAGTGTTCCGGTATGGGTAGAGCGTTACTAACCTGCCAGATGTGTCTGTATCCTAGCCTAATTCTGGCCACGACTACATCACATTGTCTCGTTCTGTCCTTATGCTGGCCATACCGGTATCTCTTGTCACAAAATTTGTCATATTTACTAATGCTACAACTGTCAGGTCTCTCTGCATTTCTCACTTCTAGATCAGAGTTCATGATTCTGACTTGAATGTTTTTAAGTACAGCATTGGACAGGCCAAGGTCACGGTCAACATTTTCTTTCTTACATGCCTCATTGGCCAGTCTATCAGCAAGGTCATGATACCTGATTCCAACATGGGACGGAATCCACACAAATTCGATATGAAAGTTGTTCTCATTGGCAGTTATCACATCCCTTTTGATATCACATACAACTTTAGACATAGAGCCTGACGGGCTGTTCATTGATTTCAAATCACTTTGAGTCACAGAATATCACCCAACCTCCATTTTCTTTAAGGTAGTCTGTAGCTAAGTAGATTCCAGTTAGTTCAGTTTGTGTTGTGCTGGCCTAGTTGTTCAGCCTTTGCTTGTTTGACACTATCATCTCTTTTTCTTTATATATTACAATTGCACAGCCTGTTCTACCTGTGTTTGTCTGCACAGAACCATCAGTAAAAGCATAACATTCACTTGATTTAATACTCTCTATGTGTCTGTTAATAGTTTCTAGTGTGACATATCTCATCACATCGGTGTTAAAACATTTGCTTACTACCAACAGGAGTGTAATTAATAGGAACTGATATATCCAGCCAAGGAGGAATGGCATTAATAGGTTCGTCTGGGGTGATTGGGACATTCAGTTTCAAGAGATCTGCAACACTTTTATGAAGCCACGCCCCAAAGAGAGTCTTTTGTGGAAGGTTAGCGAGATAGTCGGGATTACTTAGATAGAACAGCATGCATGCATACATGTGCGTGGGGAGGGGGTGTATGTGAATGAATACTCCCATCACTCAAGTAGCAGCCCACCGCCTACCATATGATGGTCAGTCTCTTATGAAACAATTAACAATACCAAGCTGGCCACTCAAGGAATGAGTTAAGAAAACAGATAAATACAATAAGCTCAGTACTCACCCCAACACGAGAAAAAAAAAAGGAAAAACTCTGACTAGGCCTAGTGGGATATCTGAGCACCTTTTAGAATAAGACTAAGTGTCATATCAGCAATTTCACCTTCCCAGCTTTTCCTACTGTTATGGAGATTAAAGGACGTACCAGGTACAGTCAACCAAAGATGCACTGACCCCACCCTGGGTCTCGTGCTGGCAATTTTACCTGGCAATATTTGGTAAAGTAAGGCTGTATGTAATGGTGATTGTGATTGGTGAATCTATTTTCAGCTGTATCACCGTCATGATAAATATTAAACAAACCAAAGGTAACATTTTTATAATAATAATCTATTCATCATTACAGTATTTTCGATCATGACAAGTTTCCAAATGTTCGTATATTTGCTTAAATAATGAAGAAAGTTATATTAGTGAATTGGCAACTCAACTACAACCATAATTGCACTATAATGGATCTATATGATAAATCATAGTAAGTGTTCACACAAAGGGGAGGTTAATCCAAACAGCACAAATACAATGGGAAATTATTAGGCCTTGATGTTATAATGAGTAACTGCACTTCAACAACAAAGGTCTTTAAGCTTGTACACTAGTTTAATAAATACATTAACTCTGCTACTCAGAAATGTTACAGTATAGAACATCAAGACATGGGTTGAGGCAGGGGCAAGACAACATGCATGGGTAATGTTATTTTTAATAAATACAGTATAGGACAGCATGTAATCTGTCCACACCCTGGTACATTTTTTTTATTTACCTTTTGTGTACTTTAATGCATTTAATAATTAACTTTGCTTGAATTTCTCACATTATCTTTCAACTCATAAAGAACTGATGAAACTGGACTACAGGTACAGTATTACCGAAAAATATATCATTTGTTGACTGTGTAACATTTTTCCGTGCAGTGAAAAAACAGCATACCAAAATGCATCCTTCTATCAACTCATGACTTCATACAGTACAGGTATCCCTCATTTAATGTTGATTCACTTAGTGATATTATTAAAATTTTGGTAATTATTGACGACACATCCATCGCCGAATTTTCACAGAAAACAATTTAGAAATGCTGTAATTTCACTGTGTTTTGCAATGGATACTTTCATAGTTTGGGCAAATGTATTAAAGTGGAGTTACTTCTAAATTAAACCTAACCTAACCTAACCTTAGTCGATGAGAAACACAAGCGGCCGAAGCATTGTTAGCAGACTGCACCAGCCTAATGAAAGAAAACTACCTAACCTTACTAAACTACCTAGCCGAGGGGCAGACCCCCGGAATTAAACAGAAAGAAATTACAGTTCTTTATGGTGTAATTTTAAATTTTTTTTTTGTGGATGTGAGAGTACGCTCGGACAGAGAGGCTCGGTTCTTGGTTGTTGCGCTGAAACAAAGAGCGGACAACAACATCGAGCATGGATCGGGCTGCCATATTGTTTCATCGCCAAAAAAACTGGGGATTTTGTGCTCGAAGTGTGCATCATTACAATATTCTAATGTGGCTTAGAAATATAGAAAATATAATATAAATCTATTTAATCAGTCAAATGAAGGGCATGGGTGTGTGCAGGTATCCCCCTGGTCTATGATCTCCCTATCTACGATATTCTGCTCCAACAATGGTGATGTATTGAAAATTTACAATGTAAACAATCTGCATGAACGATAGTCATCGTCCGGCCAAATCGGACACATCTCTTGGTTCACTAGTCGGCTGCAGTCTACCCGAGCACTGACACGCAATCACTCGGTGCACTGCAGTACCAAGCTTTGTTCCATCGTGATCAACGACTATTGGTCAGTATCAGTGTTGTTACTTATCATCGGTGTATTTTATTACCTACGAGTGAGGGGACATCACTATCATTCACACTGTACTGCTTTGGCAACTGTGAATTGATTTTTTGCTGTTTTTTTTTTTGTGTGACTATAAAGCGCTTTACCTCTGTTTGTGAGCAGTGTTGGCTGCAATAATATCATAATCGTTCACTCTGTTTTGTGACGTGCTTTCACTGTTTTGTGACTGTTAAGTGAGCAGTGTAACTTAGAAAAGGTCTTGGAAGGCCAAGGCACCAGTGGCGAAGAGTGCTGCCCTCCTGAGTTTGCCGGGCCCCCACAAAAAATACATATTGCAGTGACTCATTTATATATATATATATATATATATATATATATATATATATATATATATATATATATATATATATATATATATATATATATATATATATATATATATATATATATATATATAATATATATATATATATATATATATATATATATATATATATATATATATATATATATATATATATATATATATTAAATAGTTTGTGTACCATTATAATATTACTGTACTTTCACATACTCAAATATAGTATGCTTTAAATACACCCAAACATACTTAAACTTTATAAGTAACAGTTAAACAAAAAGCAAAAACGACATATAGGATAGGGAAAAAAGTAAAAAAGTGTAAAAAATTAGGACCATCTTTATTTCTGAAATGAAAACTACAACTTTCTACTAAGTAACTTTTTTTGTTTTTTTGTTGGCAAATTCTTCAATGACATTGTCAAAAACTATTTCATCTGTCAATTGTCGCTCTATAGACAGTATGGCAAGATTTCTCAACCGCAAGGTGCTCATAGTAGATCTTAAGTAATTCTTGATCAGTTTTAGTTTCGAAAAACTCCTCTCACAGGTAGCAACACTAACAGCAATTGTGAGGAAAATCCTCAGCATTATTACTATATTTGGAACCGAGTTCCCAAGGTTATACTTTTGAATAAACTGCAAAAGTTCAAGGGGGCCTTCTTTCCACGTCTGTATTCTGTCTTTAATAGTTATAGCAGCAACAGCAACAAAATGCTGAAGTCTTTTTCTCTCAACGAGGAACTCCTCTTTATCAATGTCGTCGTGATCGTGATCTATTTGACACTCATATTTATCATCCAAAAGATTCAATGGGGTAAGGAAGGCATATTTCTCAGCAAGTTCATGAAGCTGTTGAAATCTCAAAGTTATTTCTTGGATCACTCTGTCCAGCGAAGAAAACATTTCTCTCCTCAATTCAATGTCGTATGGCAATTCAGCATCTCGTGATCCTTCACCAAACATTTGTTTCTTCTTTTTGGGTCGACGCTGACGCTCCATGACTATCCCCAGATCATTGCAAATTTCTTTGGCATAGTTAACTCCATTACTCACTAGCTTGTCCCTGTTTTCAACTAGAAATGTTTCTAATGCCCTGAGTTTTATATCACATTGTTGTATGTTCAAGCCCTTGGTTTGGAGGTAAGTCTGTGTGTCGTTAATTTCTAGAAGGACGGGTCCCCACAGGCCAAGAAAGCACAAAAAGGA